CGGAGTTCGCACGCCACAACCACCTCCCCTTCCAATCGAACCCTGTTGTCTCGGCGCCTGCCCTGCTTTGGGTAACGCTCCCCTGTCGTCTCACTCGGAATGCTGGCTTCTTGCGTCGGGAAAACTGGCAAAACCCCGGCGGGCAAACACAGACTAGCTCCCCTGGCTGTGAATGCAACCTCAGGCTTGGAGGCTTGCAGGACGCCGAAACTATAAGACCCGGTACTTACCCTTTTTCCCGGCTTGGCTTTCTCTTCTTCCGTGTGGCACTTTAGCATTATCCGCGCCTGCAGTATGTCGACCGACGTTGAGAAATCCAAGGGTGGGCTCCAAGGGGAGCATGTCGACGTTGATCATGTCGAGCTCAAGCTGAACTCTGATCTCATGAGAGAGGCGTTCGATGCCGAAAACCGCGAGCATGAAATGGGCGTGTGGGAGGCGGCCAAGACGCACCCCTGGGCTTGCTTGTGGGCTTTCATCATGTGTTTCACTATTGTGAGCTAATCTTCGGTCGATGATTGCCGGATCGCCGCTAATGCAAGTAGGTCATGGAATCGTTCGACATGTTCCTGAACGGTAACTTTGTCGCCCTCAATGCATTCCAACAAAAGTTTGGTGTTTCCGTGGCGGGATCGACAGAAAAGGTCATCCCGACTCGGTGGCAGAGTGCCCTGTTCCAGGCTGGCCAATGTGGCGCATTTGTCGGCGTCTTTTTAGCCGGTCCAATCACAAATAAGCTGGGATATAGATGGACGACTATAATCGGCCTGATTCTCATGAACGCCACTATCTTCGTCTCCTTCTTTGTGAGTTGTTCTGTATTCTCCCTCGGAGCTACCATCTGACGCAATCCAATTAGGCCAACTCCCTCGCCCTTCTGACCGTGGGTCAAGCTTTGGAAGGTGTCCCATGGGGTTTCTTTATCGCCAACTCCCCGGCCTATGCCAGTGAAGTTGTGCCCCTCGCTCTTCGAGGTGCATGTACCGCGACTTTGCAGATGTCTTGGTCCATCGGTTCGATTATCGTTGCCGGTGCTACCTACAGCTACAACAAGTATGAGAATGAGTGGGCCTGGAAAGCGCCCCTGGCCTTGCAGTGGATGTTCCCGGTCAGTTAACCCTTGCTTTTGTTCCACCAACGCAAGCTGACCCTGTTAGACACCTCTCCTGATCCTGGTTTTCCTTGCCCCCGAGTCGCCTTGGTGGTTGATTCGTCGTGGGCGTCGGGAGGAGGCTCTTCGTTCCATCAAGCGCCTCGGTAAGGAGAAGGAAGAGGAGGCCCACCAGGCTTTGGCCATGATGGAGCGTACCGTAAAGATTGAAAAGGAGCAAGGCGGAAACCCGACGCTTCTCGACCTTTTCAAGGGCACTGATCTGCGAAGAACGGCCATATCCTGTTTCTGTTACGCAGGGCAGAATTTCGCAGGTAATTTGATTGCCAACCAAGCAACCTTTTTCTTCGAGCGTGAGTGATTCCACAGTTCCCGAGACCAAGGACGTGACGACTAACCATCCGCTTAGAGGCCGGCATGTCGTCGGATCGTGCTTTCCAGTTGAACCTGGTGAACTCGTGCCTCCAATTCGTGGCCAACGGCCTTTCCTGGGTTGTAACCGCCTGGTTCGGACGCCGCACGGTCTACCTCTGGGGCACTGCAACCAACATCATTTTGCTTTTTATTCTTGGTATCGTCGCCTCGGTGGAACAGAACGATCAGACCAACATCGCCCAGGCCTCCCTCGGAATCCTCATCTCCTTCGTGTTCGCGGGTACTCTCGGACCGATCTCCTATACTATCATTTCCGAGACCTCTTCCATCCGTCTTCGTGCGCTGAGCACCGCTGTCGGTCGTGCTGCCTACTATGTGGCAGAAATTCCCATGATCTACCTGGCCTCCAAGATGCTCAACACCACCGGATGGAACCTGGCTGGCAAGTGCGGTTACGTCTGGGGTGGCACTGCCTGCGTGTGCTGGATCATGGCCTACTTCTTCTTGCCCGAGCTGAAGCACCGCACGTACCGTGAAGCCGATATCCTGTTCAACCGCAAGGTTCCGGCTCGGAAGTTCAAGTCGACTGTTATCGGGGTCGACGAGAACGAGTAAGCGTGAGTGCACTGCGAAAGATTCTAGAGCGCTTTGTGATTATATGCGCATGATACCAGTGATGTGATAGTTGATTAATTGATTGATGCATTCTGCCCGTATGTTCAGCTTCTAGTAGACCTCGTAGTGGGATGAGGCAAGATATTGTACCACAGGAACAAAATTCAGCATTGACCTGTTGCGAGTCGTAAGTGCTCGTATTGTGTGCCATTTGCAAAATTGCTTGCTTCGTAGCCGGCTATATTCAAACAACCAATGTGGAAGGCACAGGACATACTGGCCCTGATGATTCTGCCCACGGACGGCGTCCGCACTATTCATTCCAGCTGACCTGACCGACGGCTCACCAATACATGTTGCACGGCATGTCTAGTGTGAAGAAGATCTCGAACGTCAATGCCCATGGGTCTTGCGGCACGCCGAGAGATCCCCAATAATAGCAAACACACGTATTGGCTTTGCTGACGCAAAGATTTGTGCCTTGGGCACCAGTCACCTGATGGTCTAGTTTAGCCGCCAGCCCAGGCCAGCAAAATGACAAGCAGAATCTTATCTGCCATCATTCCATTCTACTACTCCCTTGAGCACCGCAGCCTACCTCTAGCTAATATACCTGAGCCAGGATCGATGCGAGAAAGCCGAAAGGCTACTCTACAAAAAGCAATGGAGAGAAGCCGAAGAGATTCAAGTACAAATGACAGAGGCGTACATGTCAATTTCAAGCCCTGAGCATCCTGCAACGATGCAAAGCATGGGTCAACTTGTTCCGATCTACCAGCAACAGGACCGCTTGAAAGAGACCGCACAGCTGGGTAGACATATTGTGGAGAGTTCCAAGAGAGTACTAGGAGCTGAAGATTTTGAGACATTGATGAGCATGCACCACCTCGCAACTCAAACACACGAATCTATATTTCGAGGCCTTGAAGTTGATGTCCGAATGCGTGTGCCTGATGAGATACCACTTAGGCCCTGATAATACTGATACTAGGGATTCGTCGGACACACTGGCAGAATGGCAAGCCGATACATGGCCACCGAAACCCGGAGAAGAAGAGGTCTCTCCCGCAATCGGCATGGTATCTCAGCAGGAAGTTTAATCATTCGGTTGCCTAAACGTTCGGAATATGCTGGCATCGTGTAAATCACTTAGGGGAAACAAGCTGACGCGTAATTTCTCTTATCGAGATGTAATTACTTTTGTCCAGGCTAAATTACGACTGAATCAATCCTCGTGTGACTCCAGGGACGATACGAGCGGCTCTCTGATTATGGCTTCATAGCTCTTAAGTCTATGAACAGGCAAACCAGCCCTATATTTGCAGGGCCTCACCGAGACAAGCTAAGTATAAGCATAACAATACTTCCCTGATCGCGTATCCACTACCTCTCCGATCCGCCTCTGGCGATCCAAGACCCCAAAGTCCATCAACGTATCCAGCGTCACCAACGGCGCGTCAGGAGGGTTATAGATCACCGCCGTCCCATTCAGCGCGTCCCACCGCGCCGCGAAATCCCGCTCCTGCCACAGCGTCCACATCCGATCCACCATGCCATGGTGCAGGAAGAAGGCGGGATCGTGCGGACTGGCGAAGACATCGAGCATCGCCCCGCCGACCGTCGTATGCCCGCCGCCATGCGACCCGATCAACGTCGCGTTACTCGGGTCCATCACGGCCATGAAGGCGTCCATATCTGGTGCCCCGAGCAGCATGTCCACGCGCTGCTGGGTGTTGAGGATCTCCAGCGACTCGGGACGGAAGTTCCGGTTCAGACATCTGGGGTTGTAGCGCCATGGGTCGGGCGGGAGGGGCCCGTAGGATTTCACAAAGTCGCGACTGAAGGGGCCGAGGTGCAGGGTCCAGTTTGCGAAGGGCCCGGAGGTCACGCATCCGCCGCCAGCGCCGGGGGGTAGACACCCGCCTAGGTTGGCGGGGCAGAGAGCGGGGTGTTCGGCTACCGAGGCGTTGTAGATGCCGTTGCCGCCGAGGGAGGTCGGGGAGTTATCGAAGAGGGGGCTCGACGGGAGGTTGTTGTGGGTGTAGAGCGGCCAGTCCCAGTATCTGCAGCATTGATTAGCTTTTGGGGGTAGGGGGTTGGTTTGGTGGTGGGGAGAATGGGCATACGGTTGTGCGCCAGTGTATCCGCATTCTTCGCGGATGGCTTGCTCCCATAGCCAGGTGAAGTGGCGGTGCCAGGGGAGGAGGAGCCCGTTATTGTGGATGACGAGGGTGTTGTTGATGTGCGTGCTGTCGGCGTGTTAGTGCTTCGCTGGTCTGGGAGTTGAGTCGCAGGTGGGCGGCTCACATCACAAAATCATCGATGCGATCTCGCGCGCCTGGAAACTGGTCGCGAGGGAGGCGCGAAGGCCGACTGCGCATACACCACAAGGCGTCGATGTAGTCCGTCCGCTCTTGGGGTTTCAATTCCCGCCTGGCAAGGGTCAGAGAATCCTAAAATTCAATCTGGGAACGGAGCGAGGTACCATTCCCGGCGAATCTGTGCGGTCTCTGGATGACAACGCGACTGGGGTGCCGCCAGCACAACGGTGGCGGCAAGTAGGAGAGAATTGAAGATGCGCATCTTGACCGAACTGCCGAGTCACCTGTCCTCAGGCCGAAAGACTTGCGCGACGACTACGAAGAAATGCACCTTATATACCCCACGGGGTCCCGAAATCAGGCAACCTCAGCTTTTGACCCTGCATGCTGGGTACACAGCATGCAGGACGTCCCGGGTATTCGCAGAAGACATATCCACCCATGCCAGAGAAGCAAAAATTTCGGCGTCTCGGGACCATTCCGCTTCGGTTCAGAAAAAGCAAAGCTGGTTATTGGCAATTATTTCCATTAGACGGGTGTATAGTGCATATGATACATCAGATCGATCCTCCCCGCCGCTAGTAACACTCGATACTGTCGATGAAGGGAATTGGGTCGGAGGAGGTGTGTAGGCCTGGGTTGAGCATGGTACTCCGGCCAGTGCAGCCGATTGCACTGGTTGCTGTCAGTCACCTTCCCTCAATTCTTCTCTGGTCCGGGGTGAAGCTTACGTGAATAGTCGACACGGCCGCGACAGAAATACGGTGTTGACCTCCCTGTAACCTGTCAATGTCTGCTGGGAAGACCCAGGATCGATCGCACTCACTCTTCCGAGAACTTCCAGCAGTCGTTCAAAGGAACCTGCATGGACCGACTCCCCTCCGTGGTCTCGTATCCGACCTGTCGGCTGGTCAGCGTGCGATTTATGTTTGGCTGTCTGCGCGACTCACGGTAGTCCATTCCATTGCGCTGCTCACCGCCGCGAGGAGCAGCGCGCCCAGGGACAACGACAACGATTTGATGGCAAGCATGGTGGCGGTGGCTGTTGGAGAGAGATCACCAGGGTCTGATTCTTTGGGAAACAACGAGGCCGATGGTGGACTGTCGCGGGCGCGCACCATCTGACACGTAGTATTTAAGCTGTCGAGGGCGCGGCAGGGCAGACCCTTTGTTGTGGTTTGCTCACATCCCTTGCGTCGATCGGGCGGCGCATTCCAAGCGCGACCCTGCGTCACGGTGCGGTGGTCGAATACGAGGTCGTTTTATCTGGTTTGCGACGGAGGACTCCGTTTTGAGGGATGGTTGAGTCCATCAGCAGAGAACTAATTTGGCCTCGTTGCGATCGATCTGTTAGGTCTGGTGTAGTCAGGTGACTGTCAGACACGGCCAAATGAAGTTGTTTACGATCGGACCTGAGAGCGAACACGGCAGGTCGACCCCGAGACTCGGAATCTTACTTGATTTAAACCCATCTGGGGGTTTCAACTTTTGAATTGCCGAGGTTGGGCAGGGTCCAATTGCGGGTGAAACATTATCCTCAGCATCGCAGGACTCGACTTTATATACTGTGCTTATATCTCCGATGCAGAGGTATTGAAATTCTCCATACTCGCATTCGATTTTGTCTTCGCTGCAAAGCAGCTTTCTGCGCATCACAATGCATGTGTGCGCGTGGCGGTCGAAGCCATCGGAAAGGACTGACTCATCAGGGCGGATAAATATCCGCCACAGTCAAGCCTCAAGGCTTGGAATCAAGCTACCTAAGCTGTGCCATCCGTAACTTAGCTGGCAGCCTGGCAGCTTGCCACAGTTGAGAGGCTCGAGACAGCGAAGCATAATGTGAAGGGCCCTGAGAAGGAAGCTTGGGTCTTGAGCTCGGCGTGCGGGGTTGGCACGTGGATAGGCTCGACTAAGGCCCAAAACAGCCATCCGGGAGTTTGGCTCGGGAGTTGAACTCCCTCATCCTCGGCCGGACGGCTGACCACCTCGGCTGCCTCGTCGGACGGTATTATATAACGACTCTGACAGCCCCAGGAGGGCGTGACCGGCAATGTTGGCTGCCTCCTATTTACCGCCGATCCACCGGGTGCTCGCTTGCTGGGCAATCACGATGCGCTGCACTGACCGCGGGATCCACGTCGCCCCGTGTGGGCAATCCAGCCCGTTCTAGAGGTCCTTATCTCGGCTAATTTTGGTTTCCTCCCCGGGTTTGGCGCGCTGCGGGTCCGAAAGGCGTGGATTCGCCCCGTGGGGAGGCGAGGGGAGGGGAAACGGGAGGGTCCGGGGTTGAGGGCATGGGGGATTTCTCTTTATCTCCCCTTCCCCAGGTTGACCTGGGCCTCATACGATGCTGAGAGCTGTCACCCCATTCTCCCATCATGCCATCTATCGGAATGTCAACCTCATCGCCGGAAGACCTATCCGGCAAAGCACACTCGGACTACTTCGAGACGACCGAGAAAACCGCCTACGTCTCCGATGCCGTCGAGTCACTGTCCGAATCCCACAAAGCCTACCTCATCGAACGCCATGGCACCCTGGAACTTGATCCGGTGCCGAGTATGGACCCCGCGGATCCGTACAACTGGCCCGCCTTCAAGGTAAAACATCCTGCCTGGCGCGGTGTATCGTAGCAAGTTGGGAATAATAACCATAAGTAGAAAACCTTGAATCTGGTTCTCGTGGCCTTCCACGCCTGCATGGGCACATTTACCGCTGCGGCCATCATCCCTGCGTATGAATCGATCTCCGAGGACTTGGGGGTGAGCATCCAGCGCACCAGCTACCTGACCTCGCTGCAAATCGCCATCCTGGGCGGCGCCCCGTTGCTGTGGAAGCCCCTGTCGAACCGTTACGGCCGCCGTCCGATCTTCCTTCTGTCGCTGGTGTTGAGTTGCGTGTGCAACATCGGCTGCGCCCGCAGCCCCGACTACGCCTCGATGGCGGCGTGCCGCGCTTTGGTTGCTTTCTTCATCTCGCCGGCCATGGCGATCGGCAGCGCGGTCGTCACGGAGATGTTCTTCCGCCACCAACGCGCCCGCTACATGGGGATCTGGGCGGTGATGGTGACGCTGGGGGTGCCGATTGGGCCTTTTATCTTCGGGTTCGTGACGGAGCGCGTGGGATACCGCTGGATCTTCTGGATCTTGGCTATTGTAAGCGAGCCTTGCCTTTCCTCCCCCCCCCCCCCCCCCAACCCATCCCTAACTGACCGTTCCTCCAGACCAACGCCGTCGAATTCATCCTCTACCTCCCCTTCGGCCCCGAGACCCGCTACGTCGGCACCGACCTGCACTCGTCGACAACGTCAACTTTCAAACGCGAGTACCTCACCCTTTTCCACCGCATCGACCCGACCCCCTTCCGGGCGGCGGAGTTCTACCACCCACTCACCCTCTTCACCAACATCCCCGTCCTGATCGCGGCCGTCGCCTACTCCATGGTGTTTCTGTTCGGGTCCGTCATGAACTCCGTCGAGGTCCCGCAACTGCTGCAGGTGAAATTCGGGCTGAACGCGCAGCAACTCGGCCTCCAGTTTCTGGGATTGATTATTGGCTCCCTCCTGGGCGAGCAACTGGGCGGCGTGCTGTCGGATACCTGGATGAACCTCCGCGCCAAACGCAACGGGGGCCACCCGCCGGCGCCGGAGTACCGGCTGTGGTTGAGTTATGTGGGGTACCTGGTGACAATGGCGGGGATGGTGGTGTTCCTGGTGTGTACGGCGCAGGCAGAGCAGGGAAAATGGACGGTCGTGCCGGTGGTGGGCACGGCGATCGCCGCTTTTGGGAATCAGGTCGTCACCACGGTCATGATTACCTATGCGGTCGATACGTACCCGGCCGATGCGGGGAGTGTGGGCGTGTTTATCAATTTTGTGCGGTCGACGTGGGGGTTCCTCGGGCCGTTTTGGTTTACCGATTTGTTTGAGAGTGTCGGGGTGGCGGAGAGTTCCGGGGTGGTGGTTGCGTTGCTTGTCGGGGTCAGTGTTTTGCCCACGATTTGGGTGCATTGGCGTGGTGGGAGGTATCGGCGGGATTAAGTGAAGTGGTTTATACACTGGACTGATTGGGGTAAGGGGGTTGCGTGGTGGTGAGGGTGAGGAGGATGTTTTGGGTAGAGGTGGGTTTGTATATAGATGTGCTCGTTTATCAATTAAGCTACGGTTTTGACTTGTCTTGACCCTTAATTTTACTCCGATTTGGTATGCTGGATTGTAAGTAGGTCTTCGGCCACTGTCAATAGTACCTGTTAATCACGCACCGTATGCTCCTTCTCATTCCTGAGCTTTCCTGCTAGATATCTCCTATCTCTAACCTGGTAGAGCTACGATCTTCCGTATAAGACCCATTCAAACAAGAGCACACCTAAATAATCAAGAGATCCAGCTTCCTCAACCACAAACAATTGAAGAATCAACAGCTAATCCCACTCGGCAAATTCACACACTTGGAACTCGTCTTCCCCCCACTGACACTCACATCAGTCCACGTCCAATCCGAACAACTGCCCGACCCGCACGAGATAAGGATGTTGGTCCCCGAGCTGACCACCGAGCCGTGCACGTTATCCAGCACAAAGTCCGTGATCGGAACCCCCGTCGTCGGCGTCTCCGACGTGTCGCCGTAGTTCTGTTGGACCACGATCCCGTACTTGGCGATGGACGTGAGTGTGATGTCCTTGTAGGTGATGTCGGACACGGAGCCGGTGGTGTCGATGTTGGTTTTGATGCGGACGCCTTTTTTTGGTTAGTTTTGGTTGAGGGGTTTGGGGTTTGGTTGAGTATGGGAAGGGGAAGGGGGCTGGAGAGGACTTGAGGGAGTGGGTTGAAGGATAGGGGCACTAGGGCTAACGGGGACCAAGACAGGAACAGGAAACGCACCATTATCCGAATTAATGATCGTCGAATCCACGAACGTCACGTTCTTGACCGTATTATCACTACGTCCGCCCACCGAACCAATGGACAAGCCGTGACCACCGGAGCAGTAGCCGCCCGAGAGGTAAATATTCTGCTGCCGTTAGCCACCATCACCATCCCCCAAAAGCCTCCCTGGGGGTAAAACTCACCTCCCCCGAATTAACAGCCACGCAGTCATCCTGATTATACACCGTGGCCCCCGTAATAGTCACATACGTACTCGTCCCAATGTCAAACGCATCGGTATTATGCCCGCCATTGTCATCCCCGTCCGAGTTATCGATCGTGATATCCTTGAGGGTCAAATAGTCCGACGACGCGACGCTGAAGACCTGGACGGGCGAATTGACGATCTTCAGCCCGCTGATCACCGAGTTGGTCAGGCTGTGCGCCGCGAAGAACTTGGGCTTCGTCTTGCCCCCGTTCCCGCCCTCGCCGTCCCACCACCGGCTGCCATCCCCATTAATGCTGTGCCCGCTCGCGCCGGTGATGGTTAGGTCACTCCCGGAGACGGAGATCAAGGGGCCACTCCATTCTTCGTAGCCGAAGGTGGTTTCGCCGGAGAAGATTACCTATCCATTTATCATCAGGAGATGTTCAAAAGGGTGAGGTCTAGAGGTGAAAGTGGAGGGGAGGGGGGCAATGGCTTGGAATAAGGGGAGCCTACATGAGTCCCGTCATTCAACTTGGTCAGGTCCAGCGTCGTCCCCGACGGAACGGCGACATTCGACAGCACAATGGTCGAGCACGAGGTCTTGGACTTGCTAGCCGACGAGGCGCCGTTCGACCCCGAGAAGGTGCAGGTCGTCGCGCGCTTCGCGATCTCCTCGGCCGTGGGCGGGGCCGTGATGGCTGGTGGGGCTGGGCTGGCGAGAACGCTCACAGCGCCGAGGGCCAGCGAGACAAGTAGGGTGGTATTGAGGTGCATTGTTGGACTTGGGCCACGAGGGTTCAAGCTTCTGATTGTCTTGGTGGTCTTGGTGGTGGTTGCTCGAGGGCGCGGGTGGGTATTTATCCTTCTAGCAGTGGTTGCAAGTCGATCTTGAGGAGCTGTGATATTGTAGAACAATCATGCAGGGTCTACCACCCCCGCGTCTCGGTCATTTGTAAGTGGTGGAATAACCATTTTGCTCAGGTATGTTTCAACCCCGTGACGAGGACGAGGTAGAGCATACTGGGAACAGAAGCCTGTCATGGAATCCAGTGGTCTTCAGCTCGGGCTGAGTTGCCACCAGGGAATCCGGGGAAGTCGCCGACGGAATGATATTCTCCAGGGGCTGGTGGCGTGGTTTGCCCTACCATTGCGAAACGACTAACCTCCAGCCCAGACGGAGGGCGGCCCGTGTGAGAGCGCGAACACCTTATAGTCCAGCTCGCTTAGACGGATGTGCAGGCTAAAGAGGGGGCATACAGCGACCCTGGTTCATAGTTTGCGGGGGTATAGGGGAGGAACGGCACTAATTGGCGGAATCACTCGCGGACGGCGGACATTTCAGGGCTGACGATGTTTATTTTTCGCTTGGCTTCACGTCTGGGACTTGTCTTGGCACGGTGGTCTTGGCGGAGGAGCCCCTGAAGACATCCGGCAATTCCGCAGAGGGAACACTCGTCATATGGATGTTGATCCATGGTTCGGTTAAAATGGACGAGGTGCCTCTTAGGTGATATATGTGCCTCTGGTAATCAGGAGAAGTGCGTGCGCCAGCATGTAAGGCTGATTGTAAGTTACACAGCACGGCTGTAAAAAAAAAAAGGTCGTGCCCGGGTTCGAACCGGGGTTATTGGAATATTTCCTAGCCCGAAGGCAAGCGAGGTCAAAATCCAAAGTGATAACCACTACACTACACAACCTGTAGTCGATGCTGCTGCTCGCTTTAGTAATTCATGTAGCCCAAAACCTCTCTCTGCGTCATCTTTTGGGAGTCTTGAGGCACTTGGAAGGCACTTGAAGTCTAACCAGGCACCATGTCTCATCTCTCGCTTGATTCTATCTATCTCTGAGGTAAAGAGGTAAGGCCGTTGGAAATCGCATCAGGTTGATGACATGTGCATCGTGCTCAGTTTTCGCTCCATGACACCGCGATACTCAAGAATGTATTTCCCGCGGCAGCGAGTCATTGGATTCACTGCCGAGACCTGTCCGGCAACACACCCTCCTATCTAAACTGGAGTGAACGCTGCAACCCAGCCCCACCTATACAAAGAGCTTGAACCCCCCAGGTACCCCCGCCTGAAACAATCCCTCGGGATCATACTTCCGACTCGCCCGCCGCAGCGCCGCCACACTCTCCTCCCCATACCCACCAATGACATCCTGGGCTGCATCGGCGTAGTTCATATACTTGAACGGCCGATACACCCCGGCATCTTTGGTGACTTCCTCAATCGCCTCGATGAGCTGCATGGCTGTCCCATGTACCAGCGCCGCATCGCTCGGATCAGGGAAGAAAGCCACCAGCAGAAAAATGACCAGTCGTTTGTCGGCGGGATCCAGACCCAAGCTGTTGCGGGCGTGCAGGGAGGGGGTCGGCTGGAAGCTGATGTACCAGTTCATGTTTTTGACCCCTGAGATTGAGGTCACGGATTTGTTGTACAGGTCGAAAATGGCCGAGTACATGGCGGGATCGTGGGCGAAGGTGGTGGTGTAGTACATCGTGCTATTGGAAGTGTCAGCCTGGGAAGAGATTCGGTAGGCGTTATATCGTATACCTGAATCCGGGAACCTGGTAGGTATCCTCCTCAATGGCGAAGTCGGACATGTGAGTCACTCGCAGGGTGTTGTACAACACCGTACTGTTGTCAATCAGGTTTTGATAGACGGCGGGGTACGGGTGTGGCTGGGAGTACAGCATGATGAGGGTCGCATGGACGGCCGCGTGCTTACTCGTCCACCCGTACGACTCGATCAAGCCCGCGTGGGGGTCCAGGTTCGCCGGCTCCATGAAGTCCGAGTACGCGGCCAGGAGGCGCGGCGCTTCCGCCCCGGGATACGCGGTGAAGCCCGCCCAGAGCTTGCCGAGCGGGTGCGTCCGCATGGTGAACCGGGTTACCACGCCGAAGTTGTTCGACCCGCCTTTCAGGGCCACCCAGAGATCCGGATGTCTGTCTGTAGAGACGCGCAGGATCTCCCCGCTGGCCACGACGATCTCGTACTCCAGCACGTCGTCGCAGCCCCATCCGGCCGTCACGCTGGGGACGCCGATGCCCCCGCCCGTCAAGAAGCCTCCGGCCCCAATGGCAGCATCGCGTCCCCCCGTGACGGTGACGTTGAGCGGATCCAAGACCTGGTAGACCTGGAGCCAGCGGGCCCCGGCTCCGATCTGCACGGTCGCACGGTCGGAACTCACCTCGACGGTGCTCATGCTGCGGAGGTCGACGGTAACGCCGTCCTGAATATTGGCTGCACCGGCAAACAAGCCGTGTCCGCCGCTGCGGATGGCAAACTGCTCACCCCGCTCGCGGTGCGCGACGGCCATGGTCTCAACAATGATCGAGACATCTTGGGCGGAGGTGGGCCGGACCACGCACGCTGGATGGACGTTTCGTTCTTGGTAACTGAAGAAAGAACCGATAGACTCGTTGAAGCCGGGACTGTGGGTGAGAGAAATAAGTCCTTGAAGTTGGGAATTGAGGAGGTTGCAGGCCGTTGGATTGGTAGCTGGCTGCTGGTTGTAAAGCCTTGCCGCTGCCCACAACCCAACAGCACTGGCTGCGTACAAAACAACTGAAGCCATCTTGGGGCGGGTTGACCACATAAGAAAAAATAATCTAGGTAGGGAGAAAGGTAAGACGGAGGGAAACAGTAAGACTTGGTAGATGCGCAGTACCTAGTAGAACGACGGATTCAAGCATCAGGAAATTAGTCGTAAGCCCTAGCCGCCGATCATCACTTTTCTTTGTTTCGTGCATCCAACCCTAAAGCGGGCCACCCATGTAACCACAAAAGTACGGATCTACTAATTCAGCCAACCCCAAGAGAGAAAAGTCTCACATTGGGAAAAAGCATACCTGGCACGGTCACTTCCGTCTTACCCGACGGATTACAAGGGTGAGATCCTCTCCCTCCAGGGGTCCTACGATGCCTGGGCTGGGGCGGGACCAGTCCGCACGAGGAAACCGTCCGCGACCGGGGTGGTCAGGCGCATCTGCCGCGGATGCCCCCTCCTGCTGCAGCCCAATCTCAGAGTCTCGGAGCAAGTGAGCCACAAAGCAGAAGATAGCTTGTTTGGCCAGAAACCGTCCGGGACACGCCGTACTGCCCCCGCCCCACGGCCGATAGCTGGCATTAGATCGCAGCCCTGGATCCTTGGCAAAGCGATCCGCCTCCAGGACGTGCGGTGCACTGCCCCAGACGTCGGGGTTGAGGTGCAATTGCCGGTAGGAGGCCTGTGACCTAGTGTCAGCGTCTTCCTTCGGTCTCGGTCTACGGTCAGAGGGGACGTACAAGGACGCGGCTCCCGGCTCGTACCGTCTTTCCGCCGATCGCACTTGTCACCGCAATGTCGCGCACCATGGGACTGGCCATTCTTAGACGTAGCACCTCAGAGAAGAGAGAATCCAGGTGGGGACAATGCTCGACGAGATATCGATGATCGACCTGGTCGCCTGTCAAGGCGGGTTGCATTTCAGTCCGGATCGCGTCCAGAATGCTTGGATCGTACACGATGTGCGCAACGAGCCAGAAAGCAGTTTTGAACATGTTTCCCAGAATCCTGTTTTCCTTTTGTGTTAGGGAATCGGGAGTGGGTTAATCCCATCGGCATAGGTAGGGCTACTCACGCCCAAGTTTGTAGCATGAACATGCAGCCGATTTCATGGTCGTTGAGCTTATCTTGGCGGAGGACCTCTTCCACCGCCCGAACCCACCAATTCCCCTGCTCTCGCTGCTCTTGCGGTAGGGTGAAGTACTTTGCAAAGGTGCCCACCAGATGCCGTCGGGCAATTTGCATGTCCCGACCGAGGAACGCTGGCAAGCCGAAGATGAACTTCCAGTTCACCCTTTCCCACACCATATACCATTCCACAAAGTTTGGCTCAATCTCCCAGAGAACGGGTCCGTAGTACGCTTCTGCTATGCCTTTCACAAAAACCTCAACGCACACGTTGTGGAGCGATACAGTTCGGACAGACGCAGGTGCTGGCATCGTCCTAGGAGCAAGCGCTTTGAGAATGCAAGGTGTTATTCGGTCGGCGAGAAGGTCATTAAGACTTTTGCCGGGTGAGAGATGATGACGGTATAAAGACATCATAACATCCGTGCTGTGCATACACCGGGCGCTATTGACATTGTACGGGGCCTTGGGATCGACTTCAAAAATGCGGTCCACTACTCGGCGAGGAATACCGGCTCTGTGATAGAGTTCCTTGCTCATCAGGTCACGATTGAAACTCACGGTGTCCTTGTAGAGTTCAGAAATATGCTTCGGGCTCGAAATGATGTATACTTGTTGGCCGCCGACAACCATGGAGAATGGTTCTTTCGTGTCATTGTAGTATTTTCTGCGATGGTAAGACTTGGCGTTATCCTGAGTTACAGATATTTGAAGTACGCACGTTGCGTCTGCAATTGCTCCATTGAAGTCCTGGAAGAATGAGCCGGCATGACCTGTAGAAAGATCAGTACTGGTGGAATCGATTCGAGTTTTGGGAGAAGGGCCTACCCCAATCTTCCCGGATGAAGGATAGTCAGTATGGATTCTGAGATTTGAACTTGTAGTGGGAAAGCTCACATGGAATCCAGTACGGTAATTCTTCTGGGTTGCTTGGATTCAGACGCGGGCTTATTGTGAACCTCCAGAACCTCCAACATACGAGACAGCACAGTGCGACAGAAAGAATGGGTATAACAAAATCTCTTCCTGTGCCCAAAATAAGGCTCGTTATGGTACTGACTTGGCTCATCCTGGGACAGAGTCGTTGTTGCTTCGTATATCTTGCTACCAACAGAGGAAATAACCATAACGCAGAACAGGGTATGATTCGAATCCAAGACGGACGTAGCTCAGGTGCTATGATGACAATACCTTTATGGCATCCAGCCAGCCGCCGATCACGGCGAAAAGGATCTACATGACTGGCCCCTTACTAATTGGCAATGCCTTGGTGCAGTTGCGGGGTTAGACCCGACCCCCCTCCAAGAAAGCAGATAGCCATGAAGAGTCAAGTGAGATCAAACCAACAGAAACAATAAGCACAGCCACACGAGATGATTGGCACGCATTGAGCCGTGGAAAAGAAAGGCAGGGGCCGACAAGATGCGACGTGAAGAACATGGTCGAGAAGGAAATTAAACACCGACCATATCCCTCCTTCTACGCTCAGTTCATACAAAGTTCCTGCGCTTCCTGTGCATGCCTAACAGATCACAATCCTTCAGCTCTTCCGTCTCTTTCATCCCACTGGCCTTTGCATCAAGGCAGAATGGACGCTGTTCCAGCCGCCACGCCTCCACCGGGGGTGACCGCAAATCTAGTGGACCCCCCTTCTGATGGAAACATCCTGATTATCGTGGGGACTATTCTCATGAGTGTCATGTTTGTTATTGCTGGGCTGAGATTCTATACGAGGATTTGCATTCGCAGGAAGATGAGCGCTGATGATTGTATGTGGACTTTGCTATCCACCTAGTCCTTATCTCTATGGGTCCGCATGCTGATTGAGTCTACCAAGGGACCACATTGATTGCGATCGTGAGGTGCACCCGAGTCCCCGCCTGGAGAACATACTAATGCTGGCTTGGCAGATTGGTACGCTGGTATACTATATTCTATGCATTCTGGGTAAGTGAGTCACTGCGATCTACTCTTCGCTTCCAGTGTTAACCGCGGCATTGCAGCTGTCCCGGTGGCCAAATACGGAACGCACGTGTGGAATCTGTCAGCGGCGCATCTGATGAGCAGCCAATTCATAATTGTAAGTCCTCGCAACAGCCAATAGGAGATGCTTTATGCTCTTGCGTTAGCTGATATTAGACAGATCAGCTTCTTCATCAATTGGGTGACCTCCATTGTCTGGCCATTTGCGAAGACCACATTTCTGCTGATGTACCTGGATCTCTTCAAGCCATTCCGGTGGCAGAGATATGCCATCTACTTCGGACTATTGGTCAACTGGGGATTCTATATAGCGATCGCAGTGGCAACGCTCTACTATACCTCCCCCGCGCCCGGCCAAAGCTGGCAGGAGTCTTTCCTGAGCCCCCGGTATACAGGCATGGTGCCTCTGATGATTCCCATCGCAGTGGGCAATCTAGTTCTCGACGTCTACATCCTAATCTTACCGATGCTATCGATCTGGCGTCTGCAGATGGGACGGAAGAAAAAGTTCGGGGTGGCCGCGATTTTCGCGACCGGGTTCGTGTACGTTTGCGCGTCTGCGACTGAGGGGATTTCCTTACTGACGCGGCCAATAGGGCATGCATTGCCTCGTCCCTGAGCATTTACTTCAAAGTCATCTTGCGTCACCACGAAGAAGACTTCACCTACTACACCCTGCCCGTCTTGATCATGTGTCTTGCTGAGATGTGCGTCGGTATCACCGCTAGCTGCATGCCATCCATGTCGCTTCTCATCCGACGGCGGGGAGGTTTCCTAGGCACCATGGTCTCATCACTTCTCAACTTCGTCCGGAAGCATGACTCGCGGAACGCGACAGAGCGCAGCAGTGGGTCGGGGTCGGGGTCCGGGTCGTTTGGTAAGTTGTGGTTCCCCGCAATACGTGCGCCACGGCATTCATACACGACCATGGATGAGGACTTGGAATTGTGCCAGACGAGGGTGATGAAAACCAGCATCCGTAGCGAAAACTGGCAGCCTCGACCGGACGCGAGTGGGATTCGCATGAGCTACGGGTTAACCCAGGATGTTGTTGTCCCTCCTGCGGGGAGGGGCACTTGACTCTGCATTGCATGCACATAGCAAACAAAAGCCGTCTGTTGTGAGGTGGTGAGATTTAGGTCACCACGGGCGGGGGTTTGAATGCAGCTCCACAGAACTAGGGAATCATATCACGCAATAGACCACTCCATTACTGTTACCACGCTAGTGAGTTGGAGACCGATGGGCGGAGTCAGATGCATGGATGGTGGGTTTGCTAGACAGACTACACCCTGGTCGATGTACCTACTAGTAAGCGGTGTGTGCGGCTGCGGCCACAGTGCAGTTTATTTGCGCCGGAGCCAATTTCCCTTCCGGGCCCGAACCCTGGTCACTACTTCGGTGTTGGCTTTCCCTGCCACACAGGCGGCTTGCAGATAACTCCCGGCCTATCGCTCTTCAATCGCACCCACCACTTCTGTAATTTGATTGCAAAATGTCGAAGAAGTCTGTCTTGATCACCGGCTGTAGCAACGAGGGCATCGGCTACGGCCTGGCCGTGCAGTTCCAGCGCCGCGGATTTCGGGTGATGGCGACCGCGCGCAGCCTCTCCAAGATGTCGAACCTGGAGGGTCTGACTGATGTCACCTTCCTGGAGCTTGACATCTGTGACCAGACGCACATCAAAGCGGCCGTTGACAGAGTGACCCAGGAGACGGGCGGTAAGCTCGACTATCTCGTTAACAACGCTGGCATCAACCACTTCATGCCTCTACTGGACGAGGACATCCCAACAGCCAAGCGAGTCTTCGAGACCAACGTCTGGGGCCAGCTCGCCGTCACCCAGGCGTTCGCACCACTGCTGATCCAAGCCCGCGGCGCGGTGGTCTTTATCACGTCCATTGCTGGACATGTCAATGTGCCCTACATGGGTAAGCACCTTCCCATCTTCACCAGAACCCACATCCCACTGCGAGTTGCAGAAAACTCACGTAAGTGATCAGGAACCTACGCCGCATCCAAGCGATCGCTCGAGATCATGGCGGAGACGCTGCGCCTGGAGCTGGCGCCATTCCATGTGCGCGTCCTGTCCATTGTCACGGGCGGAGTACAGACACTGGGCCAGTCGCATTTCGACGACTTCGCACTGCCGGAGGGGTCCATTTACAAGCCTGTAGAGGATACCATTGCGAAAAGAGCGCGTGGGGACGATGGAAAGCAGAGATCGGACGTGCTGCAGCACGCTGAGCAGGTCGTCACGGCAATTGTCGCGGGAACGGCGGGCAAGGTCTGGTGTGGCGAAGGTGCGGGCGCTACCAAGTTCGCTTCAACGTATTTGCCTACCTCCTGGATGGTATGTTTGTGTGAATTATGCCTATGATATTGACCTGGCTAATCAGGCTGTTTAGGATGCTGGGGTCTCGAAAGGGACTGGGCTGGATTACTTGAGCAATGAGTATGGGAAGTAGGTATGGAGGGCGGGGAGAACGGAGAACGGAGAACGCAGTATGTTGTAATACGAAAGTAAGAAGTACATAGAAGTGGATACACAAATGCAAAGCGCTGATACAGATGGTCATTCTGTGGTTGGTCGAGCTGTGGAAAAGGTACTGTACCTTGATACGGGTTCAGGGCTCTCAGCCGTCTCATCAGCAACAAGAGCCGCACATTCTGCTCGCCAGATTCCAATTACGTGGGAAATCAAGCCAGCGACGAGTCGCGGGCTCCCTCCAAGAATACCACCGCGGCCAGGATGTAGTCATCACGCCTTGGATATCATTAGCCGAGCAAATGCTCAGTACGTGCATGACACGGTTGGATACAGATGAAGAACAGATGCCGGGGTACCTTTAGCTATAAAGGGCGAAATCTACCCCACTATATCGTAGTTGCTTGCCTCCCCACTCTGTCGCAGCATTGTTCTACTCACGAAACCAAACTTTAAGAAATCGGTCATGGATGAAGCCTGGGCTCTTTCTCTCTTCCGCATTGCCTGCGTGCTACTTGTTCTCAATGAGTTTCATTTTGCTCTGGGCAAGGTAGGTCAAGATAGACTCAACAACCGTCTGCAGACGTTGAACCATATTGCAGCGAAGCAGGGTGTTCTCCCACAGCAAGAGGCTCCTAAGTATAGCCATGACCATGATGAGAGACTTCGTGAGTACCGCCCAAATTATACGTCTGGCGTTGGTCCCTAACATGCATAGAGCGAGGGACGATATTACCGACCGTGGGCCGCAAAGCCGATCTTGATCGAGCCAACTCGGAAGAACCTGATTGAGCTCAGTAGTACCCCTCTGCTGTCGCAGCGTGCAGTGTACGCAGATGTAAGGAGTTCCAGCCCGGCTTACCAGAGAGTGACAGCGTTGACAACGAGTAGCTATTCGGGTTCAAGCACACGATGAACAAATTCAAGCACGACGAAGTCAACGTCCGGAAATCTCGGTTCCTTAGTCGGGTGCTGATGGGCAGTGGCCCCGCCTGTTTGAATGGGCTATTTGCAACATTGAGCGATGTACTGGACGGATCTTTGAAGAATCGTATTCAGATGGATGGACGCAATTATGGTAAGTGATGTGCCCAGCGGATGATTGAGACAAGATTATGACATCGTTTTAGGTGGCGCGCCAATCGCATTGGCTCCACTATCTCGGGGCCTGGTTTCAGACATCATGAGCGTTATGTTCTTCGGCGAGAAGCTGTGTAAGTGAACCGTGCGAGATCGGTAGGGCACTGGAAAAGTTAATCTTGGGACTCAGCATCTGAGGCGGAGTTCGCCCGCAATCTCCGTCGCCATCCGCGGGAGACCGTGGCTTGCATGGGCGCTTTTCAGATTCTTCCTTCCTTTCTGGCACCGTGAGCTATCCTGCCTTCTTACAATGTTGTTGGCCCAATACTAAACTTTGGGTGTAGTATGGCTCATGCGGTGCTGACGCGACGAGGCTATGCAATGCACAAGGTACAAGATCGATTACTTAGAGAAATCGCTCGAATACAAGCGGCCAATGAGGGGCAACCAGGGGGTGATAAGGTAGGATAATCACCTGGTAGAGGCGCGCATGGCATCCGAGAATTGATATTGTTCTAGTCAACTATCCTCAACCAAATGATCTCACTTTCAGCAACAGAACGCGAGTATTGGACCCCTCTTTTGCTGTCTCAAACAGTTCTAGGCCTCTGGCTGGCTGCATCTCATCAGCCGTGGGTCTATCTGAACACCCTACTAGTCGAGTTGTGTCTTCGCCCGGAATGGCAGTCCATCCTGCGAGACGAGGTTGTTCAGAACTGTCCCGGTGGTTTAGAATACAACGACTTGGAGCGGCTTCCTCTCCTGGACAGTTTCATGCGAGAGACCTCTCGAATGAGAAGCTTGGATAGATGTGAGATACTCCGTGTCTGTTGGAATACCCCCTCCGCTAAGTTCATTCTACAGTTGCGGTACGGAGAAAGGCATTAGCAGACCTTACACTCATCTCAGCCTCCCTGCATATCCCAGAAGGGTCTATCGTATGTGTCTCGGCTTATGATGCCTCGCACGACGGACGAAACTATCCACGCTCAGTGAAATTTGACGGCAGGCGCTTTCTTGATGATCAATCCAATGTCGACAAGAGTCTCTTCACAGATGTGTCGGAGAGACACCTCATGTGGGGCTATGGGTCTCTTGCCTGGTAAGCGAAACCCCTTACCCTCAGTGTGAGCCTTGCGCAATACCCATCACGCCTATGCCATTTAGGCCGATTGTTCCTCGAACAATTGGAGCTGACAGTACATCAACAGTCCAGGCCGCTTCCATGCAGACTTGGTGCTTAAACTCATCGTTGTCCGCATTCTTAGTAATTTCGAAATTCAGCTGGAGGATAATCGGGCCAGGCAACACTGGCACTGGGAGGAATTTACCCTGCCTTGCGAAGCGACGCGCGTGCTGCTAGCAAGGCGAGGTAACCTCTGACAGGGGTCAGCAGCTGGACAGCGGCTTGTCGACCTTGGAACAAACCTTGTCACTTCAGGAGACGATTGCCATATCTATTCACTAGGATAGCAAGGTTGTCAGATGTGGGTATCAATGCATGGATCGTCAATCCGTCTTCCCCCCTCAATTCAGCCGCAAGCTTCGAATGGGTGGTATTTATGCACTCACCTTCGGAGTTCCTCCGTAGTCTGGAGATCTGCGCCATGTCACAGTAAGCCATGCATGAGAGCTGATGTGATCCAATTGCTGGGGTTTAGGAAGTCGGGCGAAGTCGGATGGTGCGGCATAACATAGCAAAAGCTAAAGTACTTCCAAGACACGGCAATCAAGCCAGCCGATACGCCCGTCTTGCGGGCGGCGGGCCGGCACGCAAACAAGTTCCTTCCATTTCTAGTTTAAACGCGGGGGTGTTGGAGTGAATCTGCCCATCGATCGACATCCACCAACACAAGCTACAACAAACAGCAGCAGGGCCAACTGGCTCCAATCTCAGTCCGCACACCCTGCTCGCCTGCGCCTCTTTTGGTGCAGGGCACACTAGTAAGCGACCTGGTCAAATGTTTCCAAGGCCTGTAGGACTACCTGGAGGCTCTTGTTTGGGGTTAAGAAAATGAAGAAGTAACCAACTACTGTGGTCACGCGTCCACATAAGAATATGTTGAAGTGTTTCTGCTATCAAACAAGACACCAAAGGGAACAACCAACCACTAGCAGCCCACCCTCTGCGCCATGGTGCTGAAACTCCCACTGCTTCTCTTCGTACTGAACTTGGCATGTGGCATGCAAGCAGCACGTGAATGCTTTGCATTATTGACAGTGTTTCCTGAAAAGGTCTCCTTCCCAGGAAGCGGGTCTTACAATGCCTCAGTGTCCTCCTACTTCTTTCTCGATGAGCGATTACATCCTACATGCATCGTTTCCCCATCCTCAGTAGAGGAAGTATCGACTATTGTGAAAATTCTGGCGGCATCGGCAAACTCTGCCTTTTCAATCCGCTCTGGGGGCCATTCGCCCAATTCGGGAGCTGCCAATGCTGACTGGGGCGTGACAATCGACCTTCGGGGCCTGAACAGCATTGGGATCGACAGCAGTACATACACCGTCCAGGTTGGAACCGGATTGACTTGGAACGAAGTATACCAAGCAGTTGATGGATATGATCGGGTAGTGATAGGAGGTCGGACTGGGTCTGTGGGTGTGGGCGGTCTCATCACCGGCGGTAAGGTCTCTTTCTCCAGAATTCGTGACTGTATGTAAACATCCCTCTGAAGCCGAACAGGAGGTCTATCAGCGTTCTACCCGAGGTATGGATTTGCCTGCGACAACGTGCTCAACATGGAAGTCGTCCTCGCCTCCGGCGAGATCATAAACGTCAACGCCAGCCACCATGCGGATCTCTTCGCTGCGCTCAAGGGCGGCCAGAACAACTTCGGGATTGTCACCCGCTTTGACCTGCGGTCTTTTCCCCAAGGCCCGTACTGGGGCGGCGGGATCCAGTACGATATCTCCACTGTCGAGGAGCAATTGGCGGCGTTCACGGCCTTCAAGCACCCGGCCAATTTCGACCCCTTCGCCGAGATCGAACAGAGCTATCTGTACTACGGCGCCGAGGATAAGGGGACAGTCTCCAACATTATGTACTATTCGAATGCATCAGCCGCCCCTGCCGCTTTGCAGCGGTTTACGGACATCGAGCCACAGGCGCTGAACACGATGCGTATTTCCAATAGCACGGATTTCAGTGCAGAGCTTACACGCTACCAGCCTATGGACCAGTAGTAAGTTTCCCCCCTTGATCTCTCTTTTCTCTCCTTGTTTGTTCTTTGTTTTTTTTTTTTTTTTTGTGTGTGTTCATCTCTCGTCGAGTGTTGTTCTTCGCTGAGAGCCGGCGCTCAGTGCCGTTTACGCAACGGCAACCTTTCGGGTCTCGCCCACCATCCTCAAAAAGGTGTACGACGCGTGGAATGCGACCACCCTGAGCATTGCAGGGGATGTTTTGAACCTGACCAGCGTGCTCGTCTATCAGTCCATCCCTGCGTTGCAGCCGGCACCGGCACCGCCGAACAGCCTCGGGATTCCGCCGGACAGCCATCCGGAGCGGGATCAGGTCCTCTGCCTCGTGTCCCTCTATTGGCCGCTGGAGAAAGACTCTCAGCTTGTCCAGCAAGCGACGCTGTCTATTATCAAGGCAGTGGATGCGCTGACCACGGAGGAGGGTGTTCGAGTGCCATACCGGTACTTGAATTACGCGGCCTCCTGGCAAAGCCCGATCGGCAGTTACGGTCCGGACAGTGTGGAAGAGCTGCAACGCGTTGCTTCAGCATACGACCCCAGGGGTATCTTTCGGCGTAATGTGCCAGGAGGCTTTAAGCTTTTTGCCTAGTAGCTGCAATTGATGTAGATTGGTATTGAATAAGTGACCCGATGCGCTAGTTCTGTGTGGCTTCTATTTGTATGCTATTGTATGGCAGCATCATAGACGCTCGGCAAGTTTTGGTGTACACTGTCTTGGAGCCAGTCAATAGTATCAACAAATTCCCATGCCCTCTTACCCCCACCAGCCTAAGAAAACCGACCTCTCGCAACCACGTCCTACACACGGAATTCCAACAAATGCGCCTTCAACCTCATATTAAATCCCTCCAACCTCTTCTCGAACTCTTCCGCAGTACCAGCTAACATCTCCTTCCCAACACTATACCTCACAAACCCCGCAAAATGTACTCTCGCCCTCCTCTCCACCTCCAGATCCCTCCTTCGCGCCCCCAACCTCGGGAGACCGACCAGAAAATCCAGATCCGACGTCTCCGTCGCATCATACGGCACCGGAGACCCCCACGGCCTCGCCTCCCGCTCATCCAGATACCGCGCAAACGGGACGAGACCCTCGCGATACCCATACTGTCCGCCCGTAGGATCGAGCACCCATTTTTCACCGGACAGGCGCATCGTCACCACCAGCACGGTATGCGGACACCCCGTCGGGTCAGGGCCGGGGACGAGTCTCGTCGGACGGGGTTTCTTCTCGATCTGGAGGTCAATGAATTCGATTCGCGTGTCCATATCTAGCATCCCCATTTTTATCAGTACACGTACCCTATCTAGGTCATCAGTGCGGGATCACGGGGAGGAGTGCGAACCAGCCAGAAGCCCCCTAATCAACCCACTCAACAGCGCCATCGCGGCAGTACACTGGTTCACGCACAGCGCCGCCTCCCTCTCCTCGGGGTTCGTGGTCAGATGTTCCGGAACTGTACGCGGGTACCGGGGTCTCTGGCCTCCTGGTGCAGGTAGAGCGTCCCGTCGCGGAGGTCGATCTTCGTGAGGGCGATGTCGTACAGGGTCGCTCGGTAGGTGAGGAGCGCGGTCTTGAGGATGTGGGCGGCGCGGTGGAGCTTAATCCGCTGCGCCATCATTCTGCAGACATGTTTGTGGACGGGCCAGTGGCGCTTTTGGCAGGCGCGGGTGCAGTACGTGGCGCTGATGGTGTGGCCTGGTAGGTAGGCGGGGGGGTTCAGGCAGCCGGCGCAGTAGAGGGTGGCGTTTGAGCCGCAAGCTGCGCAGATGGTGGGGGTGGAGGCAGGCATTTTTGGGTAGTTTGAGGTGCTGGTGGGTGGTTGTGATGTGTTTCGTGATGATAGTGATGGCCTCGATGATGGTGGGGCAGAGTAAGAAGGTGGTGGGATGTAGGAGAGGAGGTGCGGTTTCCCCAGTAGTTGTGTTTTGAGGGCTCGCGCTACTTATATGTGATGGTTGCTGGTGTATGGCCTGGCTGTGATTATTGCAACGCGTTCGCTTCATTCACTGTGTGAGAGGGTAGTCGCAGGTCAAATGAAATATGTCGCTGCTTTAACAACATCATGGGATGTCACGCTGGCGGCCGTCACCCAGCCAGAATGACTATGTCTCTGCAAGGTCTACTTGCCCTTCAACACTGTTCTTGATTGTTCCCTCTCTGATTTCATAGTATAAATTGTCGATCCCGCTTTAAACATAGTCTACATCCAAATTGACGTATGATAGGTATTGCACCGAATATGCAATCATCCCCTAGAAAGATTTATTAAGGATAAGAAAGCTCTGTTAGTCAGCTCATAGCTGTTGATAACATAGATTGCTGTATCAAACCGAGTTGGAATACTGCTGGGTATATTTTAATTAGTAGTATTGAGCTGCTACATCTGTTTTACAAGATCTAGTATGTAAAGTAAAGTCTGTTTTATGTAAATACTACTTGGCTATTACTACTTATTAAGTCACAGATCTTTGTAGGTAAAAGCAATATACCTTACAAATAGACTTCCTGCCCATGTCGGTGGGAGGTAAAGTTGACTGCGGGTCCAAGTCTTCTTTGGAGTTTGCTGGCCATAGTCTCACTATGGCATAGGAGCTCTGAAGGACCTGTGGTCTCAGGATCACTGCTGTCTATAACTACACAACTCAAGGCTTCATATATCATCTGAAAGTCACTTGGTCATTAGCGGGAATGTTAGACTATACTGGTCATCTGTATGACCCCCACTTAAAGCTTCAGGATCAAATAGCGCAACATGCGGTTGGCGAAGATAGCGTTGTCTTGGCGTCTAGCAATAGACACTAGAATATGTTAACTACCATCGAGGACGAGACTGCAAGTGGGTCTAAAGCCGTGGGTGGGGTTACTTGTGCAAGTATGTAGTCCCATTAACATTAATCGCAAAATGCACTTTTCATTGGGCCCACAGCCGGAAGTCCGCATCGCCAGATTAGAAAAAGAGTGGTGTATGATTCGGGAAACTTGAAAAAAGCTCTGTCGCACAGCCCGCAGTAAATAAGTAGCCCTCATTCCGTCAAACCTTGAGTCCTCATTGGTGTCTGATCCTAGGCATTGATACCATGGCAGGGGTGGCTTAGGACGGTGTAACTCACGTGTCCGAGCGGGATATGAAGAGATAGCTCGGAAACAGCTTTGCGACTCTCAATCCACCTCCGACCAACCTGACAAACAACCGTCATCTTCTCCGTTCCTCCACCCATCTACCCCTGACGACGGCATCCAGATCCAACATGAGCGGAGATCTCGTCGCCATAATCTGTACCCCAGAAATACCAATCCCAGTCAGTCATACCATCTCCTTTCCTCCAACCGACTTCACCCACACACACAAAGCTGATTGAGATGGATTGTACTTCACATCGCAGACCCTCAACGCGATGCTTACCGCATCGAAGAACTACAACACCGAAGCACCGCCCTCAATCATCGTTCTCGACACCGAACAGCGCCACCGCCTTCTCCAGCCCGACTGCGATTCCGCCACCTCAGACGGGCACGTGGCCGACGGGTTTGTCTCCCCTTTTGTGGGGATGACCATCCCCGAAGTGGTCCGCTTCGTTACCGAGACAGCCCGCGACACCGTCATCAACCCGTACTCGGTCTTCATCGCAGATGAGCGCACGGCCGCGGACCAGACCGTCCTCGTGGTGGGCATCCACGACGAGACGCGCGAGGTCGAGGCCGCGGCGGATGGTCCCCGAGCTCCTCGACCTGCTCGCTGCGAATCTGGTCATTGCGAACACGGATATCGTGGAGATGAAACTGAATGCGGAGGAGACAGGCGGGGTGTACAGGCATTAGCGTCTGGAAAGGGGTCACGAAGGGAACGGGCTTATGCATGAAATGATGATAATGATGGTGATTTCTGTGGAGATGACGCAACGAGTCTGGGGGGAGTTTTAGTCAATCAAATGGCATATTAGCGTGTTGGGGGCGTCTAGTGTAACCTTCATCGGTTTCCTACCTTGGAAGTTACCATCGCCAAGCAGTCTTTGTATCTTTTCTTCAATGGTACTAGGCGTTTGATGGAGATAAGCGCGTTGCCGGTGCGTGCAAGACATAATCAGCTCGGTTACATTTAGTACCTTAGTGGACTCGCAGAACCGAGGAAGCGACTGTTGCGCTCCTGATCCATCGTACTGTAGAATGGAGTACGAAACACACTCAGAGAAGGCGCGTTCCAATGTCAAGACAAATCAAGCTAGAGCCTCTGCATCTTTCCTTCCTTTAATAGACGTACTTATATGGTCGAACGATCGAACGGAGCAGAATGTTCTTTTCCTGCCACATCTTCACCGAGTAACCGGCAGCAGGCAAAAGGGCTGGTCAGAACGATGTAATATTTGCCCAACTGTAAAGATACTGGTTGTAGTAGGTACATTCACAGGCTTCCACCGGGTGATGAATCAGTGGTAACAAGTTTATCTGACTTTCTTACTCGGTGGCCTGACCAACTTGTTTGTTTGCTATCTCATTTCAAAGTCAGTCATGTCCGGCCTGCCGCCTTCTAGTGTCCGGGCCATTTTCTTCTAAATCAAACTCTACATTTAACGGATCATATGCTATGCCCAGGCTAAGTCAGCCTTGGTCAAGACTCAGCAGCAGGAGAGTCAAGCTCAAGCCAAGTGAGCTCGATGCCCTGACTGAGAGATATTCTCAATGTGAAGTCACTAGTTTTAATTATAAAATAACTTATTACAATCTACCAATTTACATCGCCGGTGGATGGTTCGGTGCCGCGGGGACTTTATCTGACGGGAATCGAGCCAGGGCCGAGGAGTGGGGCCTTCGGCGCATTTCTAGGGCAAATCCCCCACGTGACAGCATCGATATGGGATTTGGATCGATAACCCGCCGAAGCACTGTCTTCATAATGATAATTTATAGTTATCATATCTGGGACAGATGCAGATAATGCTGGATGTTATTTTGGCTTAGGGATTGGGAGTTTGCGTGAGTGCGACAGCTCTCTCAGTTGCGCCATGTATGTCCTTCTCCTGTTCGGGGCGCTCGCCTCCATTCTTGCTTCGATCTTCCTATCCGGAACCACCAGTGTAAACAATCTGGTGAACTGGCAGTCACCCATCGTGAACAAACTCGGCTGGCTGGGAAGCTCCAAACCCCTCCCATCGATCTCCGTGCCCGCCACCTGGAACGGCTTCGGCTACCTCTTCAACATCACAGTAGGCACCCCGCCGCAGAGCCTAACCGTACTGAGTGACTGGGCCTGGGTGACGCTGTTCACGCGCAGCGCCCGCTGCGAGGGGCGCTACGACCCAGCCCACTGCGTCGCAGAGGGTCAAAGCTACTTCGACGAGCGCGCCTCGACGAGCTACAGCGACCAAACCGCTCTCCCGCGCCTCCGGTGGGACACGAGCCTCTACTCGCCCGACTTCACCGTCAACTACGCCACCGACACAGTCTGCATCAACCACCCCGATAACACCTCCCACATCTGCACCACCCCACAAACCACGATCCAAGTCTCCGATTTCCCCTTCGCAGGCCACTACGTGCCCCCCGTCCCGTTCGGGGGCATCTTCGGCCTCGCGCCGGTCATCCCCGGCCTGAACGCGACCTACCACCCGACGCACTACCAAGCCTGGAAACAGGGCCGCACTGGCGCGCAGATCGGATTCAACAGCTGCGCCAAGCTCTCGTCCAAGAAATTCTGCCACGGCGGCGACGCCAAGTTCGTCTTCGGGGGCACGGATACGTCCCTGTACGACGCCGACCAGGTAATCTGGTATCCCATCGTCACGCCGCCGTGGCTCGGCGACGAGATGTTCCTGCCCATCAAGCCCTCGATCTGGAACTTCTGGGCCACACCCTGGACCGGGGGGTGGATCGTCGAGACACTCCCCGATGGAGAGAAGAGGTGGTCGACGAACTACGCCGTTCCGTTCCCCGCGACAGCCCTGAACAAGGACTTCCTGCCTGCCGACCACAGCGACCGGAAGTTTCGGAGCGGGTCCCCGCGGTATAATTCTACGGAGCTGGTCACCCCGCTCGCGGTTCTGGACGACGGCTCTGAGGGGCTGGGCGTCCCCGTGACGGCGAGCCAGTACGTGGAGCTGGTGCGGCTGACCGGGGGCCGGAAGGCGGATGCCCCGACGCGGGCAGCGATCGCGGCGCAGTGGACGTCGAGCACGACGGGGATGGCCACGCAGGATTGGTATTTGATTGATTGCACGACGAAAGGTCTTCCGGAGCTGGTGTATGAGTTCGATCGGCGCGGGAATTACTCGGTCGGAGCTGAGGAGTACGTGCAGAAAATCGAGGCGACCGGAGAGTGTTATCTCAACGCGCATGTGTGGGAGCATAGTCGTACGGAGACTGGGGATGCTACGGTGATCTCGGTTGGGGACGGGATTCTGAAGGGGTTGTATGTGGTGCTGGACTTTGAGAGGAATGTGTTTGGGTTGGCGCCGTTGAAGAGGGTATAATTTCGGTTTTAGGGGGTTTGGGGAAGAGAATTTGGATTCGCAATATGAGATAATGTCTGAATCTTCCTATTTTGGATGTGCTTTTGTGCAACGAGTGTGTACAACTGGTAGGTTTGTAGTGATCTTGGGCTAAGGCTCGCCCTGTGACATTTGTCTGTCTATGCGTATGCTCATCCCAGATGCCATTTGACGATTCTTCACTAAGGACTAAAAAAGAAAGAAAGTGGGGGAAAAACAAAAGAAAAAAAGAAGAAAAAAACAATTGAAAAGAGAAAGCAAAATCTGCAACCTCGAAGAATGGAACAAGAATTTACTTTGTATGCGAACATGGGGACTAAAGAACCAACCCCCTCCAGTTTAAACTACCACACCGTACAAGTTCAGCTGTACAACCATAACGTAATTCAAATTCATAAACTAGACAACATAACCCCCCTCCCGCAGAACATCCTACTCCTTCGTATACACGTACATAGGCACCCCCGACTTGGGCTTGGCCGTCGACGAGAAAACCTGGTACGCCTCGTCGCCGAACGCCTCGGTGCGCCCGCCGGCGGCCTCGACCTCATCCGGGTGCCGCCGCCGGTACTCGGCGTAGGCGGACTCGAACCGGAATCGCCGCAACGTCATGGCCAGCACGACCCGGATCTCGATCATAGCCATCTCGCTGCCGATGCACATGCGGGGCCCCTTCTCGAAGGGCCGGTAGGCGTCCGCGGGCGGTGCGTGGCCGTTCCACCCCGCGGTCACGGCCTCGGTGCGCCCGTCGGCCAGCGTGATCGTCTTGGCCGTCATGAACCGCTCCGGGTGGAACTCGTCCGGGCAGGGGAAGAACTCGGCGTCGTGGTGGATCGTGTGGATCCCCACCCAGATCAGGCTGCCCTTGGGCACGGTCACAGCGGGCGCTTTGTCAGGATGGAAGGTTGTGCTGTCCTTTCAGTAAGCATTGCGAATATCTTTAGGCAGACATGGGGTGCAAAGAGGGCTGAAGACTGACTCTTTCGGCGCCATGCGGAGACTGCCGGACGCGGGGTACAGGCGGAGGGTCTCGCGGATTACGGCGGTCGTGTACGGGAGTTTGTTGATGATGGAGGGCTGGTCGCGGATGAGCTGGCCGATCGCTGCCGTGTCTTTGCCCAGGACTTGATCGTGCTCTTCGATGACCTTGGCGAGGACCTCGGGGTGCTTGCTCAGAAGGTGGTAGATGTTCTGGGGTGGGGTTAGCATCAACCAATAATTTTCAGACTGCGCGGACGTACGCTAAGGGTGGTACTGCTCGTGTCGTGACCTGCAAAGACAAAGGTTTTGAGACTGCACAGAATCAGTCAGTCGCTCGTCCAGACGAGGCAGCTGGCACTGCACTCACTTATCTACGGCAAGCTGCTCAAATCCACAGTCGAACAACGACCCGTTCGGCAGCTGCTCGTACCGCTCGATGGCGATGTCCATCAATGTGCGGAACTTCTTGTTCGCCCCGTTGGCGGCTCGGTCGCGCAGCACGCGGCGGATGTAGTTGTCCATCGTGTTCGCGTACTTGCGGCGCAGGTAGTGGGTTACCGGGTTGATGTCGAGAGTCTGGCCGTTGGGGAGGAGGTCCAGGAGGTGGCGGAAGGCCTCGACCAGCTCGTCGCGACGGGTCAGTGACTTGAAATCGACTCCCAGTACGACGATGCCGATGATATCGATGGTCAATCGGGCGGCCATCGGCTCCATGGAGAACAGCTCGTGCTTGGCGGCGTACTCGCTCAGCAGGTCGCAGAAGACCTCAGTCTTTTCGACCATCAGCGGCACCATGGTCATCAGGTGGGCATTGGAGAAGCCTGGGGCAAACAGACTGCGCAACTCCTTCCATTTAGCGTCGTTGGCGGCCAGCACGCTGTTGTAGCCGGTGAGTGGCTTGAGGAAGCGCGTGATCATGGGGTGTTTGGGGAACGGGCTGCTGTCCTGGGAGACCTGGTGGGCGAGTTTGGGATTGGCCACCAGGTACATTTGGTCCATCAGGGGCCAAGTATCGACGGTGAACATGTCACCTAGTTTGTACAGTCGTTGCAACATGGTCATCTGGGCTTGGGGGTGGAGATCCTTGGGGGCCTTGCTCTGCACATGCATAAATGCGGGAAGAGTGCCGAAGAGGAGATGATGGGGTGGACCAGGCTGATCTGTCAGTACAGACAGAGACGGCGGGCAGTAACAAAGGCAGACTCACCAATCCCCTGACCCTCATTCTTTCGCGGACTAGAATGGTCAACCCGATCACGACCGCTCCCACAAGGAGTGGAAGTAATACATCCTTAGGACTTTCCACGCCGATGACGGCGGGAAGATCCACCAAGAGTGAAGACATTGAGTGTGTCTGCAACTGAGTTCGATGAAGATAACTTGATAGCGCAATACCAGCTACAATGCCAGTACTGCACTTCAACTCAGTCGCGTTCGTGTTCGACCGAGTCTTTATGGCAGAATATGTATCTCTGGCGATCTTCGCCGGTGGTCGCGTTCGGTGACTTTGTATTGGCCAATCGATCAGGCCACGATGCCCTCGGCGATGGAGTAAGCGTAATAACATGTCAGCAAGTGGTTGAGATGCTACCGTAGAAGGTTGCCAGTGTTGGCTTGGTTATTGATTTGGTGCTGCGCAGTCGAGCGACCGTAGAGACCTGGATGTCTGTGGAATGCCTCCCGGGGAGAAGGGCAATGGTGAATTCGGCTATAGTCTACGGCATCTGTACAGTACATCTATTAGGAGAGAACTTATATCAAAGACACAAGAATAGAAGCTATTATTGCTTAACGAGAGGCTTCTGCTGTCTGAAAAGAATCGTGGATTTGAAACTCAATCTCAATACTGTTGTGTAGCATGGCATGCTGGGACTCCTGTCCTGGGCGCCGCCCACCATTGCCCAGAATATCGAACTACATAGTTGGTAGCTACAGGCTACTGTATCACCACCTCTCGAGAGAGTAAACATTCTTGAATTTGACTCTCGCATATTTCCCACTCAACGTGAAGGCCACCATCAGTGCTCCGTGTAACTCACTCACTCTGCTTGTTTTTGGCGGCTCAGAGAGCTGTTCCACACAAGATACTGATACTTTCTACTGTTACATGCACGCCACGTGGGGCCTAATACAACTCGGCAATATGATTCCCGCTGAGCAGACGGATTCCCCGTCGCCGCGCTTCCAGGCCACCACGTACGTATTTCATCAGGGATGAGTCCCTGGATAAGTCAACTCAAACTTCTAAAGCTAGATTGCCGTTTGGTAGATGATGTACTGAATGTTGGTGGCGTTTTAAGGCGATATTCTTGAGCGGTGAGATAGAGCGCGTCAGGATTCGGCCAACAGGTTGCAGCCTGAGGTCATCGAAAACCGATCTAGCCTGGTCCATAGTACCATGCAACCACGTTCTGATCGAGTGGATCAAATCCTTCCATAGCCTGATGACCGTTTACATTGCATGGATGACCCGATCGGTGACATTCGGCGACTTTGCGCTTCCTCGCCCTCTCACACCAGGACTTGTATTGGTGCTCCCTGGGTGAAACCGTTCCTGCGATACGCCCTTTACCAAACGCTATTCTCGCCTCCAGAACCATTTCATCCCCAAGGCATTAGTGAATGATCCTCAGCGTCTGCTTGTGGATGGTGCTTTACATATTTGTTTTGCGGACAGTGGCGACGTCAAGCCGCCGAGATCCTTCTGAGTAACTGGCCGAGTGGCAGTGACTCGGCGAGGCCTGCTCCTGTTCACAGAAGGGCTGTGTCAGCGCCCCTGTGCAGTCTCTACACGGGTCGGTGGCAACCTGCTTAGCCAGCACTCAGTATACAAAGTACAATCCAATACCTCCTGTCTGATATCCGGCTCCATACACAGAACAGATACCGTGCAACATTCAACACGCTCGGTACTCTAGCCTTCTTTCTAGAGATCCCGTCATGATCATGACTGCCAACAACGATATGGCTGTTCGTGAGTCTGTGGTTGTGACAGAGGGCGCTTCATCCACCCCTGAACTCTGGCAGATGCTGGGGAGTCGGGACCAGCCCACCAACATCACACCCCGCGTCCGCATCACGGATGTTGATCACAAGCAGCTACACAGCTCTGCCAACCTTGTATCAGCCCGGGCATTGCAGCAGCTCACAAAAAGCCTGCACGAGGGCATCTGCAGCACCGCCCTGGAGGATGACAGTCAGTCATCCAGTGCATACTACTCTACATATGCTTCGACACCAAGGAGCCTGTCGCCCAATCTGGAGGCTGTGCCATCAGATGATGGTATACCAGATTTACAACCACAGTTCGAAGCTGTAGAGCGAGCTTCGTTCGCCCAGGAGAGAATCTGGTTTCTACACGAGTACCTGACCGATCCCACCACCTTCAATGTCACCATGGCCTACGCCGTGCAAGGGCCACTGCAGCCCGCCGAGCTTGCAACTGCCTTCCGAGCCATGTCCGATCGACACGAATCTCTACGGACAGCTTTCTTCCTCGACTCGAGAGACGGAGAGCCCCAATTATTCCAGGGCATTCTGCCTGAAACACAGATCGAGATCAGCATCCATACCATCGACAGTACCCAGGTGGTCGACGAAGTCTACGCATCGGTCAGAGATCATGTGTATGATCTCCCTCGTGGCAAAACAATGAAAGTGGCTATCTTGACCCTCACTCCAACCACGCACTTCCTGGTCCTTGGCTTTCATCATATCGCACTCGATGGCTTCAGCGCGCAGATCTTCATCAAAGACCTACAGTTGATATACTCCACCGGACAAATCTTGCCGCCCGCTCCACGATACCGGGACTACACACTTCTGCAACGCCAGTCTCTGGCAAACGACACCTACCGCGAGAGTTTGGACTTTTGGAAGAGCAAGCTCGCCAATCTGCCCCCACCGATGCCTCTCTTTGCCTTCTCCCGCGTCGCAGCCCGCAAACCACTGAATAGCTACCGCGTGCACAGTGTGGAGAGAACCATCGGGATCTCCCTCGCGTCGAAGATTAAAGATACTGCACACAAGGTCGGCGGGACGACCTCATTCTTTCTATACCTCACTGCTCTCCGGGAGCTGGTCTTCCGCCTCCTAGGCCACGCACAACGTGACATCTGCCTCGGGATCTCCGACGCCGGACGGGCGGACAAGGAAGCTCTGCAGGTCGTAGGGATGTTTGTCAACATGCTGCCGCTGCAATTCCGGGCCGCTCGCCCTGGTCAGTCGTTCCGTGATCTGTTGGCCACCACTACGAGGCAGGTCCGCACGGCGTTGACGCATGCCGCCGTGCCGTATCAAGTGCTCTTGGATGAACTGGCCGTGCAGCGGTCACCCTCGGAAAATCCGTTGTTTCAGATCCTGCTGAACTATAAGATGGGGTCCACCGAGGAGGCGACACTGGGACACTGCAGGGCGCACAGCTTGCGTATGGATGATGCCAGAACAGGGCTAGATCTGGTGATAGAAGTGGAGGAATTCGTGGACGGGAATTTTCAGGTGGCTGTAAGGGGGCAAGAGTATCTGTATGGAGAGGAGGGTCTGGAGTTTATCTTGTCCTCGCTCGTGACGATTCTTGAGGAGGTTACTCTGCGGCCCAGTATGCCGGTCGCCAATCTCGCGATATTCGATGAGAAGAGTATTACACATGCACTCGAGCTTAGCCGTGGTGAGCACGTCTTTACAGCCGAGCACTTGCTGACAGTGGTGCATTTGTTCGATCGGCACTGCAAGGCTCACCCCAGGGATGTGGCCGTCAAGCAAGCAGATGGTCAGTTCCTCTCCTATGGAGAGCTGCAGGGTCGTGCTCAGGAGCTGGCAAGACGGCTACAGGAGCTTGAGGGATCGACTGCGGTTGTTGTCGCCTGCAAGCCGAGCCTGGACACCATTGTCTCGATTGTGGGCATTCATTATGCTGGCTGCACCTACGTGCCGGTCGACATTGAGCATCCGGAAGAGCGACTGCGAACTATTGTGGAAGACTGCAAGCCGCGAGCCATCCTCTACCACGCGGATACCCAAGATCTCGCGGTGGCCTTGGCAGGTGGCGCGATAGCTGTTCCCACACCGCAGTCCGGGATGGACAAGGCCTTTCCAATCAAAGCCAGTGTCAACGACACCGCGTATATATTGTATACCAGCGGATCCACCGGAAAGCCCAAGGGAGTCATTGTCAGCCACGGCAACCTGACATGTCAGATATTGTCGATGCGACGAACTGCAACCCTGGGGAAGGAGACAGTGCTTCACCAGAGTGGCGTTGCGTTCGATGCCTCGATCGACTGCGTGTATGCTGCGCTAGCTGGGCAGGGAACGTTAGTGATGGCTCCTCCGGAGGTGAGACGCGATCCGGTGCAGCTAGCCAGTCTGATGGCCCGGGAGCAGATTACCTACACGCAGATGACCTCGTCCGAGTACCACAATCTCGTGGTGTATGGTGCAGAGCATCTCAAGCAATGTGTCACTTACCGCAACGCGTTTTGTGGTGGAGAGAAGTTTCTGTCTAGTTTGATTCCTCTTTTCCGGGCATTGGAGCTACCCGCACTAAGAGTGTGGAACCGATACGGTCCGACCGAGATCACTGTGTCGTCGAGCATGCAGATGATTGTCGGGGCAGATGGGTTGAATCGTAGCACAGAATTAATTCCGTGTGGTCGGCCGTTGACGAACTACTCCGTTTTCATTCTTGATGAACAGCGCCGACCGGTACCTGCAGGTGTGCCCGGGGAGATCTGTATTGGTGGAGGGGGCGTGGCACAAGGGTACCTAAACAATGCCCGCCTCACGGCTAGCAAATTCGTCAAGAACATCTATGCTAGTGAGGATGACGTGCGGCGTGGCTGGGACCGGCTGTATCGGACGGGCGATCGAGGCTATTTGCTGTCTGATGGGTCACTGGTGTTTCTGGGCCGAATGGAGGGGTCCGCGCAGGTGAAGATCAGGGGACAGCGAGTGGAGCTGGATGAGATTGAGACGGCTATTGTGGCCACGTCTGAGGGGAGGGTCTTGTCAGCAGGGGTCTGCGTCAAGGGCGACAATGCGGATGCGGTGCTGGCAGCGTATGTCGTGCTGCGTCCTGATGTGCAAGTTGACTCACTTTCGTCGCTGGTAGC